GGACTACTCCACCGCCTGGCACCTGCTGGCGTCCACACCCAGCCCTGGCCTGGCTGCCCCGTCCACCCGGCGCTCATGGACAGGACACCACCCCGGCTCCCTGTCAACACAGGCATGCCTGCCGGGGCCCATCCTCCAGTTCACCATCATTGACCACCATGCGGACATGCTAGTGGACTACGTATCTACGCCAAGAAGGACGTCCCCTACCAACCTGTCGACGTCCCCAAAGCCGACACTACCAACGTACCGCCATCACAATCACACAAAAGTATGTCCCTCAATGTTGTCAATGCCTATGGCTATGGACCGGCACTGGCATTATTAGGACCTGCCACGCTTTGCCATAAACAGATAAATTGTACCGGTACACACACTCATCATTCTGTCACTTTATTCAACTTGTGAACCCATGACCCATAAGGCTTTTACGCCCTTAATGCATGAGTTATAAAGGCAAGCATAGACTCCGCATGCTTCCCAGGTGGGCGCTGTAAACGCTTTTGCGCTTCACCTTGCACAGGATGTAAGGGGGTGCCCAATAAACTAGCCCCGTCGGGGACAATTTAATCTAATCTTTATATCTCTGGCTCTCCTAACCTCCCCTCCCTGACCTCTCCTGCCTACCTCCCCTCTTCTCCCTTCTCCCACCCTGATCTCTACTCCTCTCTCCCCATCCTTACATCCCCTCCCTGGCCTCCCCTCTTCTCCCTTGTCCCCACCCTGATCTATCCTCCCTCTCCTCCCTTCTCCTATCCTTACCTCCTCTCTCTCCACCCTAACCTTCCCTCACCTCCCTTCTCCCCATCTTTACCTCCTCTCTCTCCTCCCTATCCTAACCATCCCATCCTGAAGGCGAAATAGAGGGAATAGATGAGCCAAGAGAAGTATATAGAGAGACACAGACAGGAAGAATGATGAAGAGATAGAGAGAAAAAGAGTTGGATGGAGAAAGGGATATTCTCCGAAAGGTAAATAAGAGAGAGTGTAATATCTCATTGTGAATACATTCCTCGTCACGACTTCTGCAATACTATGCGTAATCAGTCACCAGAATGCAATCAACGCAGACACACAAGGTTCGAACACCATCAACTGACAATCTACAAAGAATTTATTGGTTGGTGGAACTTATAATGAATCGCTGACAATTATACTGTAATTATACCAGTACCTGTGAATCCGAGCTGACCACTGCTAACCTTACGTTGTGTCGAGCAGTAATGTGATTGGACTTATTATTCGGTGACTGCTACTAACTTTTTGCCAGTAACTATCATCCAGGCTGACCAATGAGAACTCCATGTTGATATTAATCTAGAATATGATTGGTCTCCTTATCAATAGAGTTAATACTAAGATCCTGGCAGCGTCTAACATGCTTACCAGCAGCCATAATCCAAGTTGTCCAATAAGAACTTCACGTCGTCTGGGACTGAAATGTAATTGAATTCATTGTCACCCTCACCCTCGCGTAAGTGAATACCATTATAATGGCCTCCAAAACTGAATGGTAATCAAAACATTTACTTTTTTTCTTTGAATTATAGATAAATATTGATATGGCCTTAAGTAGTTTCTGGAAATAATAATATTGTATTTATTTTTTACGGCAGATACGTTTCAGAGTTGTCAGTGATTGTCACAATACGTGTGACCAGAGTGTGACTGACAACAAGGCTGGCATAGATTGTGGTCAACTTTCGTCTTAATTAGGAGAGTCTATTGCCAGGATCAGGGACAAATGGCTGTGTTTTTATATTGATATTGAAACAATTTAATTAACCAGAAAAACACGGATACAGAGTGGACAATAATAACAACAACATAGACTTGGCTGAGCAGTTGAGAGCCTGGTTGATGCCGCTGCTCCCCCCCGCCGCCCCACACACACTAATACAGTTTCTCATACAATAACAATTTACTGGAAGGATCAAGATTCGAACATCATAACCTCCTTCCTCCCCTCTCCCCCTCTCCCCCTCTCCCCCCACTTCCTCCCCCTCTCCCTCCTCCTCCCTCTCCCTCCCTCCCTCCCTCCCTCCTGTCACTCCTCTGGCTCAGTGAGTAATTCAGTTATGTTCGAGTCCATCAGTTCAACAGCCCCTGACCTCAACAACAGACGCCTCGATTACGGGTCGTCTGTTATGGCAACGACTCTGGATTTCGGATTTAACGTTACTCATATTTAGCTTGAGAAGAAAAGTCCATGGAGATTTTAAGGTTCATTAAGAAAAATCATTACTGCGCTTCAACCTCAAACCCTTTAAACAGGTAATACGGTAAAAAAAAAAAAACACTAGTCCATCGAACTCTGCGTGCGTGGGAGAGAAGATGGTGAAGGAGAGGTATTTGGACAAGATAATTAAGACTGTTAACAAGAGGGAACTGTAGTTATTTCTTTCTATGCCGGTGATCTAGTAGTGTTTGGACAGAAGGAAGAAGCTTGGTAAGGTTGTGTTAGCATTTGAAAGAGAGAAAAATAATATTAAACTGCATGAAACTAACACTCAAAACTATGAGGTGATGACTGTGGCAGGACGGTAAAGACGGGGGTGACGTGTCGTTAAAGGTCAAGACACAACAAACTACAGATGACCAGAATCTTTTGGGTGTGATGTTTGACAGAGACGGATTGGAGGGAAGTGAAAGTATTTCGAGAATAAATGTTTAAGCCAAAGACATCGTCACCGGAAGCTTATGCTGATATTTACCTCGTCTTAAACTTCACCTCAAGTTGATAGATGAATATGTGGTAACCTGGGAAGTGTCTGGTTAGCCCCGAAGCACCTAGAGGATCGTCACTCTTCGGACTTATTTACACAGCCTTGAGAGGATGTACAGTACAGTTACCTTCACTTCAACAGTGAACTTGGTCTCCCCGAACAATGATGTGAAAGATTCCCAGCCGAGCGATGGGTATCAATGACAGTGAATCAGTAAACCTCATGTGATTCAGTTGGGCTCGTTCGGAGTCTGAATCAGTATAAAGAAATTCTAAATTATCGCCTGTCGCGGCGAGATATATACACCAAATGACACTTGTGACATTTTGTTATACAGTGTGAGCCAGAAGTCACTGTGCACCTACTGTAGGCGATGAGCATATTCAGTGTCTCTGTACTTATACAAATACAGTTTCCGTACTTACTTAAGTTACAGCAAATGTTGGAAATGGCACCCACGTGCCTGTAGACACGCATCTACATGTCTTATCTTTGTAAACACGCGACAATTCAATTCATGGTGAAATTTGCGATGGCTTCCTTCAGCTTAGGGGGAGTGTGAGGGTTGTCTTTGTAAACTGCGCCTTTCATTGCTCCCCTTAGATAATAATCAAGGGGTGTAAGATCTGGCGACCCTGGTGGCCAAATGTCCTTTGAAATTATTCTGTCCCCGAACACATCGCGCAGTAGCTTCATGGAGACACGAGCTGTGCGTGGGTAGCACCGTCCTGTTGGAAGTAGCCGCAAGCAATTTCGTCTTCATTTAAATATCCAATGAAAGGGGTAGAATCATTTCACAATAACGTTCCGGGTTGATTGTTTCACTGAGAAATATACTCATCGTCAACAGTTGGTGCACATTGACTTTTGGCTCATCCTGTATAATTGAAAGAAGCAGTGTTGTCTTCTAAAAACGACTGAACAATGCTTGGGTGCATGAAGGTATGGGAGCAGTTAGTGGAGAATGGCGACCGTAAGAAGGCAGAGGCACGGGGTTCGTGAACACCTGGAATTCAACTCAAGTATGACTAACAGCCTTGATGGTACAAACTTGAGGGATATGAAGTTATAAAAAAGCTACAAATGAGTGACCTCTTAATCAGTGATGTCCACACCACGGTAAGGACGCTTGATTTCGGGTCAGGGTCCATTTCCAGAGACGCGAGCTGAAAGAAGGATCTTCACCGGACCGGCAGGAACAACCAGTGCGTAAAATTACTCACAGTCTGGTGACCACCAATAAGAGGAGCTCCAGTGCAATCAGGGTGGAAGTGATTCAGACCGCTAAAGTTTTCCTATCGGCATGAGCGCTTGCACACTGAACAAGATGAGTTACTTCATCAAATGTAAACAACTGTGACAACATCTGACCTCTGCCAGTTTATTGTCTGAGTTGGCTGACCGGCCATTTCCTGGATCTGCAGACAAATTCACAGATGAAACTTGTGAACAGTGGCTACAAATCGTTGGGCTCCCACACGTGCTGTAACTCGAGGAAGTGACAGGAATGTACCATTTATGTACGGCTCCGGCAACTGATACCAGTGACATCTGGCATTGTTTGGAAAATCTTAGCAGAATTTGACACCACGTCACCCCACTGAGTACTAACAGAGCGTATTATCAGTCACCACAGTACCATTGTTGACGACCGCTGGACCATAATGCTGAAGGAAACCAGGAGCGCCAGGCTCAGCATCTCCCTGAACAGAGTAGGATCAGCATCAAATGATCCTCGGCCGACAGGTGAAGATGCCTGACGGTGCACCAGCTGCTGAGATATATATATGACGGGAGATGATGGAATATAATGTTGTTAATGATAAAAATAATCATCATCCACCTTTTATCGTCCATGTCTTATCACTATTGGTTAATGTAGTACCTGCCTGGTGTACCTACCTGGTGTACCCACTGGTGTACCCTACCTGGTACCCACTGGTGTACCTGCCTGGTGTACCCCACCTGGTGTACCTGCCTGGTGTACCCGCCTGGTGTACCTGCCTGGTGTACCCACCTGGTGTACCTGCCTGGTGTACCTACCTGGTGTACCTGCCTGTACCCCTACCTGTGTACCTACCTGGTGTACCTGCCTGGTGTACCCACCGGTGTACCTGCCTGGTGTACCTACCCCATGTACCTGCCTGGTGTACCTGCCTGGTGCACCCACCTGGTGCACCCACTGGTGCACCCACCTGGCACCTGCCGAGGCACCCAATCTGGTGCACCCACCTGGTGCACCCACCTGGTGCACCCGTCTGGTGCACCCACCTGATGCACCCACCTGGTGCACCCGCCTGGTGCACCCACCCTGATGCACCCACCTGGTGCACCCGCCTGCACCCACCTGGCACCTGCCTCCGTACCCACCTGGATGCACCCACCTGGTGCACCCGCCTGGTGCACCTGCCTGGTGCACCCACCTGGTGCACCTGCCTGGTGTACCCACCTGTGCACCCACCAGGTGCACCCACCTGGTGCACCCGCCTGGTGTACCCGCCTGGTGCACCCACCTGGTGTACCCGCCCAGGCACCCACCTGGTGTACCCGCCTGCACCACCTGGTGCACCCACCTGCGTACCCACTGGTGTACCCACCTGGTGCACCCGCCCGGTGCACCACCTGATGCACCCGCCTGGCGTGCACCCACCTGGCACCCTGCCTGGTGCACCCACCTGCGTACCCGCCCGGTGTACCCACCGGCATACCCACCTGGTGCACCCGCCTGGTGTACCCACCTGGTGCACCCGCCCGGTGTACCCACCTGATGTACCCGCCTGGTACCCGCCCGGTGTACCCACCTGATGTACCCGCCTGGTGCACCCACCTGGTGCACCCGCCTGCGTACCCACCTGATGTACCCGCCTGGCGTAACCTGCCTGGTGCACCCACCTGATGCACCCGCCTGGTGCACCCACCTGGTGCACCCACCGGTATACCACCTGGTACCCACCTGGTGCACCCACCTGGTGCACCCACCCGGTATACCCACCTGGTGCACCCAATGGTGTACCCGCCTGGTACCCACCTGATGTACCCGCCTGGCGCACCCACCTGATGTACCCGCCTGGTGCACCAATTGGTGTACCCACCCGCGTACCCGCCTGGTGCACCCACCCGGTGTACCCACCCGGGTGCACCCACCTGGTGCACCCTACCTGGTGCACCCACCAGGAACTGCCTGGCGTACCCATGCACCCACCGGTGTACCCGCCCGGTGCACCCAACTGATGTACCCACCTGGCACCCGCCTGGTGCACCACCTGGTACCCGCCTGGCGTACCCACCTGGTGTACCCACCTGCACCCGCCTGGTGTACCCACTGATGTACCCACCTGATGCACCCGCCTGGTGCACCTGCCTGGTGTACCCGCCTGGTGCACCCAGCCTGCGCACCCGCCTGCGTACCCACCTGGTGTACCCACCTGGTGCACCCGCCTGCGCCCACCTGATGCACCCACCTGGTGCACCCGCCTGTGCACCCACCTGCACCGCCTGGTGCACCCACCTGGTGCACCACCTGTGCACCCAGCCTGTGCACCCACCTGATGCACCCACCGATGCACCCACCTGGTGTACCCGCCTGGCACCCACCTGATGCACCCACCTGGTGCACCACCTGGTGCACCCACCGGTACCTGCCTGGTGCACCCACCCGATGCAACTGATGCACCCGTCGTGCACCTGCCTGGTGTACCCACCTGGTGCACCTGCCTGGTGTACCCACCTGCGTACCCGTCTGGTGCACCACCCGGCAACTCGCCTGCACCACCTGGCACCCATCGACACCCATCTGCCTGGTGCACCCACCTGGTGCACCTACCCGGCATACCTGCCTGGTGTACCCACCCAGACACCGCCTGGTGTACCTACCAGGTCCACTGCATAATCTGGTGTACCTACTGGTGTACCACCCGGTATACCTGCCGTGTACCCACCTGGTGTTCCACCCGGTATACCTGCCTGCGTACCTACCTGTGTACTTATATTGTCATATCTTCATAAAATTTACATTATTCAAAAGATGATCCTTTACTTCCAATTAATAACTAACATAGATCAATAACGGAGTTAACCCATGTGTAATGGACAGCCTTATATCTATGTTTGGTAGAATAGGACGCTTTTAATGTCTTCTTATTGTAAACTAATGTTGTACAGATATAAACAAAAAATAATCAGTGCGGTGCTTGTTATTTATCTCATAGAAAGGAGCGACGGTCTCTGGTCTTACATGTAATCATTCACACAACTTCTATCAGAAATATTTAACCCAGGCACATTAAAAACAACTTACGTGGACATGTAAAATAACTCCCGTTACTTCAAAATAAATTCCATCGTCTCTGATAAATTTGGTGATTTTCGGTCCAAAATTTGCCCTGTACACACCAGGTATTATGATTGGTCCTTTATGTGGGTAGTGAGTTCACGTCTCTACTGCCAACCAATCACGATGAAGCCTGCTAACTAGACACCCGGTGGACCATGGCAGCTGCTTTGTGTACCTGGCCAGCCTCGGGGTTGGTTCCTTGTCCATCACTCACTTTAGGTTCATAAAGAAGACGTTTCCGATGGCGAATCCAGGTGAGACGTGGGTACACCTTCTCCTAATTAGTATAAAAATAACTGTTAAATAAAGGAGAATAGAATATTGTTACCATTATTATTTAGTGTATTTTTTCCAAGGTGAGTTCCCTTTAAACGTGGTTCCCTTTAAGTGTGTGTCTCTTTAACTGTGTCCCCTTTAAGTGTGTTCCGTGTAAGCTTAACTCTTTTAAGTGTGTTCCTTTAAGTGTGTTTCTTTAAGTGCGTTCCTTTTAATTGTTCTCTCTCTTAAGTGTGACTCCCGTTAAATAAGGCCATAATTCACCTCCGTCCGAGCTTCATGGCCCTCGTGTTTCTTCCTGTGAGTTTGTATACATATTGGCACCGCATGAAGTGCTTGGGCAAAGTGGAGAAGTTATACACTCACACACATACATACACACACACACACGTACATACACACACACACGTACATACATACATACATACTGTACATACATTGATACATACATACTGTACATGCAAACATACATACTTATATACATACATACATATATACATACATACATACATACATACATACATACATACATACATACATGAGGAGAATACCACAAGAATCCAAGTTGTTTATATAAGAAATGTTAGAAGTTGATGAAAATGTTTTGTGTTGCGATATAAATTACTGACAAGAGGCGGCGGCTGAGTGGATACATCGCTCACCCCGTGTCCTTAGGTTCACTGGTTCAAGTTGTGGGTTCCTACAGTCCATCCAGCTGTCATTGGATATATCTAATTTTGCAGTTGGTGAAGTGAAGGGAGTCGAGTGGTCCCCGTGTGTGCTGTAACTCATCACAGTACAGAGGAAATACGGATTAATTATGCCTTCGTCTGACACTCATACATCCACACACTCGGGTTCTCATTATACGTGGATTACTATTATCATTATTATTTCACTATCATTATTCCCTGGGGTATTATTATTATATGAACGTAAGAACATAAGAATGGGGGAAACTGCAGTGAGCCTATTGGGTAGTAGGCAGCTACCAATCAGGGAGGTACTACTGCCTGGGAAGATATTGGAAGCATAATGTGTTGTCTAATGGTAGACCTTGCTGCCATATGGCATCACGAAAATTGTGACCAAGTCCCAGGTTGCTGATCTAACTTTCTCCCTCATTTACACACAATTGCAGGGTCTCAATTGTTTCTCTTACTATTGAGAACACAACATACATAATTGTTTCTCACTTTTGATCTTTTTTTCATTTGTGTATTTCTTTTTGGTTCTTTAATATTATTACGATTACATTTTCGCCCACCAGGCCCTGATGTGGGGCAGTGATCTGTGCCCAGGTGGGCTAATCATAAAAAAAAAAAAAACTACACCCAACTCCTATCGCTTGTATATCCGTCCAACCTATATTTGAAGCTACCCAGCTTGTTCGAGTTAATGATGATGTTTGGTAACTTGTTCCACTCATCCACTACTCTATTTCCAAATCAATGTTTACCTATCTCGCGCATCAATCTAAATTTGTCAAATTTAAAACCATTGCTATGAGTTCACTCCTGGTTGGATAGTTTAATTATATCACCTTTGTTATATCACTTTTTTTTTAACCCTGACTCCCATTTATACACCTTGATCATATCACCCCTCACTCTAACGCCCCTATTATTAAACAACATCTTCCCTTGAAGAGGGTCGTCGTGTTTCAACCCGAGTTTTAAACTAAATGAGTCCTGAGGGACACAGCAGTACAGTACTTAACGGGGTGGTGTGGCGGTAAAATTAACTAATTCCAATAAAATTCATTTATAATGTTGGAATTAGTTAATTTTACCGCCACCTACCCGTGCAGTGTCCCTCAAGATTAATTTAAAACTAAATGAATACTATTACCATTATTATTTCACTATCATTATTCCCTGGGGTATTATTATTATTATTATATGAACCTAAGAACATAAGAGTGGAGGAAACTGCAAATTCAGATGCTTTAATATGTCTCTGTACTCAAGGTTTCTAATGCCTGGGATTAGTCTTGTCATTCTCCTCTGTATGCTTTCTTGATATTCCATATCCATTCTGTAATATGGTGATCAAAACTGAACTGCATAATCTAAGTGAGGTCTCCCAAGTCCAAGATATAGTTTTAGGATAACCTCGCTAGTCTTGTAACTAACACTCCTTTGTATGAACCCATGTACTTTGTTAGTCTTTTTTCGAGGAAATACGCATTATTGTCTTGGTTTAAGATTTTTTTCACAGTCGGATTTCTCTATATTAACTTTGTTCATGTGATATCTGGTTTCTCTATTTACATCCCGTAGGCTAAGTACTTTACATTTCCATATTAAATTTCATCTGTCATTTTTCAAACCTTGCGAAAAAAATTAGATCTATCTGTAATTTTGTGGAGTCTTCGTCAGATTTAATTGTACGCCCTGTCTCCACTTATATCTGTCATTTATGTATATAATAAATAGTAATGGTCAAAGTATTGAGTCTTGGGTTACACCACTAGTGATGTTACCCCAATCGGACTTAGTGCCATTAATGCTGACTCTGTTTCCTGTCCTGTAACCACGCCCTAACCCAGTTTAGAACACCTCCTCCAATTCCATGAGCCTCCACTTTACGGATTGGGGGACCCTGTCGAAGGGTTTGCTGAAGTCGAGGTAAATCACATCATAATCGTGTCCATCATTGTTGTTGTTATTATTATTATTATCATTATTATTATTATTATTATTATTATTATTATTTTTATTATCATTATTATTATTCTCTGGAGTACTTATTTCTATTATTATTGTTAATATTATTAATTTGTACTGTTTTTATCCTCATTATTAACTGTTGTTATCATCATTGGTGTTTGTCTTTTGTCAATGTTTTTGGTCAGATCCCCTGTGTAATGGCAATAAATTATTTACTTGGATGACTGTGGGCGGTTAGTTTTCAAACTGTGCTTCCAGCTGTCAGGTGAAGAAGATGGGTGACCTGACCTGTTTGTCGTGTTGATGAATGTGACCTGATGCCTGTATTGACAGATTTGTTGTTTATCAGTACTTTGTTTTTTACTGAGTAGTAATTTGACCTTGAGGATGTCCAATATCGGTGAATCTGTCAACAAACATTCCTTCTCAACTGACACGAGTTAGTAGAAGTGCACCAGCACCCCGTTGTGTCCACTAATCACAACCCAGGACTTAACTTTGTCCACAAATCAGAGCTCAGTAATAACTTTTGGAATATTTTCATTCGTTTTATAATTCTAAATACTCATTACCTGTAATGTCCGATGGCTATTTGGGTGATTTTATGTTATTCAGGAACTGTGTAACTCCATAATAATCAAATACGTACAGCAATAGTGGCGCCCTCCCGTGGACAAGGACGAGGTACACTATACACTCGCTGTTCACATCCATTCACCAGTTTAATCACTTGAACGAGAGCTTCTACCTATACAGCCAGGAGGTGGAGGTGACAGACCCTCCTTCCCTCGGGCATGGAACGTCGTCTGTGTTTCATTCCATTTACTCTTATTTGTTGAGGCAGAACCACAGAAGGAAATGTGAGGTACCGTATACACCAACACTGCTCAGAGTACAGAACTAATCGTACACCCAGAAACAACGATGGTAGGTTGTTTCATGTCGACCTC